AACACGGTAAGGCAACTGTAGCCCATTTAAATGAAGGATTGCCTGTGTGCGTTGTTACCGTAATTTAGGGCACAAAATCGTACAGATCTGCTAGTCTGTATTCCACAAATCGACAAAACATCTGGTTTCTTTAAAAAACATTTGTTTAGGGAAATCGATTATGATGGCTACCACTGGACAAAAAATTAATTTTCAGGCCCGTCAACCCTGTACCTATGAAAACTCTTTGGAGTAAATTACTCTCGTTTTAAGTAAAAAACCCCGCTCAGATATGCAATCGAAGTCTAGAACAGGTGTTAACATAGGAAATTGTCCGAATATGCCGCGATGTCCATTTCGACCAAATTAATGAACATTTTGCTAGAAAATATTAAGTAGACACAATCTGTGCAGAAGATGAGAACATTTCCTAGTGGATGGTGAGCAGGTAAGCAAAATGCACGACGTTTAAGACGTCCAAAATTCTCACAACATATTTTGTCACCAGGTTTCATGAGATAGGTCACGTACTCTAGCTGAGTGACGATCGTATCGCTTTGGTAGTTTACAACAGACGTTGGGCTTAACCTTGTCAATACAGCCATGTTGCCTCGTGCATTTTGTTCGTGATTTTGGCATCAGCTAGCATGACCATAGTTACGACAGTTGAGAAGTGATCAAAATGGTCCGGTACATCGCTGCAGACTGACTGTTGTCCCGCGTGTTGAATTTTAATCATGTCTGACAGATTTTCACTCTAATGTGAATTAGCATGCTAAGATAACTTCCCATCTTTCTCTTCGCCATACGCACCCCGATATCAGACCAAAAATCTGTGCTTTATTTACTTGTCATGTTTCGCAAGCAAAATTGTGTGGAGGAAACTAGAGAAAACGCTTAGCAGTCATTCCCTGCAGCCGTATGAGGTCGGCGAACCACGAGGCGGAAATTCAGCTCAATTTCTTGTCCCAACGAGTGCCTCTTTAGCTTGCATCCGCTCGTGAATGACCAAGGAGTACCTCCTGCAAATGAGAAGACGCACGCCCGTTACGGTTTTTGATTTCATGAAAACTCCACTTTCTCGCTGACGTTGAGATTGTTAAAAATAAATTCTGCATACTGCATTTGTTTTTAAGGAACCCATCGATTTTAGCGTAGTCAGGTGTATTGCAATTCCAAATACGTGAATTTGGACTTTGAATAACGGAAAAATATGCTACTTACGTGCATTTCGTTAAACGTAATCTGGCGATGGCTATACTGCAACTCTCTCTGCTGTTTAGATGTGGGCCATTTCAGTTCTATTTCATGTTGTCAGCTGCACTGTAACTTTATTAGGATCAGTCATCTGATTGCAAAATTATGCGATGCCGAAATGCATCTTTTGTAGTTTAAACTCAGTGACACGCTTCTCAACAGCATCCGACCTCTCCGATGCGTCATCTTCGCAGAAGCGCACACAGCCGATTTGAGTTAATTTCAGGAACCTGCATGCATAACTGAAACATAGTTTATGTTTTCAGTGCCCTTTAAACTCTTCGTTAGTGCAATGTTACATGTCAGGTCAAACATCGATTCGAAGTGGAACTAAGGATCCTGCACACGAAAGGTGACCCTCTGCTTAACTCCAGGAAGGGAATTTTTTTTGAGTCCTTACCTTGACCACAATTCTAACTCCAAAATTGACTCTCATGACACCACCACCAGCCCTATAACCATAATTTTAACCCTGACCTTAGCATTAAATATAAATCTTGCCCCTCTGAAACTTAGCGTAAGGACGCCTGTAATAGTTAGGCTTCCATATACGCGCTCCTTAATAGTTAATCGTTCAATAAGCCGACATCACGGTGAGACTGCCATTCAGCGTTGCCAGCTGACAGTTAACTAGAATTTGTCAGCTCCTTTTGACATCAGGCCCCCGGGACGGTGCTCTCATCGAGTAATGCTGCTAATAAAGCCAAAGGTCCGGGTAATATTCATATATGTCGGCATTCCGTGACAACCCAATCCCATTTTATGGCGCGGTTGACGCTAGACAGCGGTCAGCAGTGGGCGATGAATCAATTTTAATTCAAAAACGACGGATATCTTACAGTTACATAGCCAAGATCTTCGTCCTTTCAATACCGTTATCTGAGCCTCTGCTTTGTTCCGAATTCAAAAAACGTGTGGTGTTTGAACAAGCGTTTATTGCCACAAAGGCATGCATTTTGTGCTTCAGGTAGAAATTGTGCGCCCAGTCAAATGTAAACCCAATGGAGGAAAATGCCGGCTAGTATAAATTACCACAATGGTATCATTCGGGAGATAGAGTAGCCACGATAGTATCTGCCATATTCGCCTTCGGGGTAAAAACTGAGTGTTTTTTTTGCTAATTGTACCAGCACACTGCACTTTGAATGACATTTTTGCTTTTTGAATGTAACCTGTAATGAACATTACGTGGACAACAAGCAACTCGGCCAAATCTGTGAGATGCAAAACAATTGCTGAAAATGTCAGACCGATTTTTAGGAAGACACGTAAACCTTTACTGGGCAGTGTAGTGGGAGAATAAGCATCTCAGTTTTATCACATTAATTTCCTCTTGTGTGATAAAAGCGGAATATGAATACCCCTATTATGTTTGTAGGTGGTGAGTAAGTCGCTTGTAAAGACTACAGAGCGGGATATATTCGCCCAGAGATCGCGGTGAAAAAAAGGCCTGGCAAAATCGGCGTCCCCACAGACTTCTATGTTCTTAAGGATTTTGGGAAAATATGAGTATTTTTAAGTGAATGGTATACACTCCCATTAAAACAATTGAATAACCCTTTTGGTAGTATTCCGTACCTCAATTTCGTTATTGAAAATAACAAGGTGGGGAGAATGATATCATGGTTTGGCGTCCACCGTTTTGCCAATGATTGTGCCGCCCGGAAATGTTGGCTCCTAAGAAAAGTAAGTTACTAAAGGTCCATTTATAGAACGGGGTGGAATATATATGTTTAATAAATCAAACAAATGGGACAATTTTGCGAATTCGTACTAACAGCGAAGGTTTCGATTTTGTTTATAGGATTTTGAAGAGAAAAACGGCATTATTGCTGAGTTCTATTAACATCTAAATTCCTTGGCTACTCAAATCGTAATGAAGAACAGCATAAATGAGATTTAGAAAGGACTAATATCTGAACATAGAAGTACGGTTTTAATGCAACGTGACTGGGTTAATCATTCTAAGAACTGAAATTTAAATGATATTTCCTTTTCATTTTAGTGATGTGTAGGGAAAGACGCTCGCTGTGTTATACATGACCCTCCCGGGACCTTATGGTATGATTTGGTTGGAATTAAGGCTAAGAAGTTTAATTTTAGGATGAAGGACAGCATTATGGTTAGGCCATAGACATCGTTGCTATATCCAAGCATTCCCAGTGGACAGTATTTCCGTTTGCGATGAGTTATTTTATCGGTAGACATAGATTAGTTTGGTAAGTCATCTGTTTACATTTCCTTTACCGATCAAAATAGAATGAATCTTCCGTTCCGCATGAGGGTTTGAGAAAGTGTGTAGTGTACTGAACAGTGATATGCGCTGATATTTCACCAAATCCTTCAGTAAGCTCAGTATAACATACGGGTACCCAACTTACCCTCTTTGGGGACTCCCTATTCAGTAATAACAAGGGCTCGCGGGTTACTAATCTTACGAGCGTATAAAGTTACAGCAGAACGTGGTTTGGGAAATCGTTCGGCGCACAATTGGTCCTCTGTTCGCTAAAAGTATACGAATAGTGTAAAACTACCAATTCACTTATGCACGGGTTTGTATTTTTCGAAAACGCATACCGTCAACTATCTGGAAACACAAATCTCGCATTCAGCAGTCAGTTTGGCGGCTGATGATTTTATGAGCTAAAACAGATTGCTTTTTAAACATGTATTTCATCAATAAAACCTAATATTAACGGGCTAGTAGATGTGGATTAAAAAACCTTATTCTAGACTAACTTGCAAATTTCTGTTGAATTTCGGTAGACATCATTTAAGTTATTACGGTCAAAGATGCAAATTACATTGCCGACCGAAAGTCTGAATTCAAATATAAAAACGCCGTGCTCTCTCTGAATTTGCAGTCGGGTGCGAAGCAGTCTTCTAAAAGATCGCGATATACGCTTTTACTATAAAGAATAAAATGTGGTGAAAAGGGATGCAAAAATAGCCAGTTAAATACATATCGGTTTAAGCATTAGTTCGGTTCATTTTTATCTAGGGGTTGAGATAAGTGTAATATGTTTGTGGGAAAGTGAGTAGTATCGTGCATGACACACGTGATTATATTGGATTTTGGTTTTTCATTAACAGATGACTATGACATGGCACTTGATCGTTGAAGGATGACGCACGGTTATTTAAAAAAATCAAGGGTGTTAAACCTTGACGGTTTTACTCTTTTGATTACTGTGTGTGAAGTTCTCCTAACTTACCGATGTATTCCGCCCGAAAGGACATTGATGAGGTGCAATGTCTACCCCCCCCCCCCAGATCGAAGCGAGCACGTCGTACTGTTGTGGGTGTACTCCATTTTTTTCTCGGCCCGAACAAGTCACCAGGTTTAGAAAGAACATTTGGCGCTGTTAATTTGCCCAAATGAAAGCTGAACAAAACACCATAAACTGGGAATCAGTCTTTTCCGGCGATATAATCAAGGGTTGGGATTGGCTTAGTGGGTTACTGCACGTTCTTCTGAGAGACCACTGCCCTATTTCACGGAAGAAACTGAACAGTAGACCCCCGGCTAAAAAAAGCTTTGAAAAAAGAAGTGAATAAAAAGTGGAGGTATGGAGAAAATCCCTCTCGGATAGGAGCTATGTGTCGAGGATGCGTACAAAGCACAGAGGAACCTAGTTAGTAGGTTAATCCTCGGGACGAGGCGTACTTTCGAGAAAGACCTGCTGAATCGAGCCGCAGAAAATCCAAAGTTGTTCTATGGTTACATAAGAAAAAGCACACGATAAAGGGACCCAAGCCCATTAATGAAAACTAGTGACGACCTAGAACTTAGTGAAGACGGAGAAAAGGCCGAGCACCTTTCACAATTTTTTAAGTCCATCTTTACGAAGGAGAGAGAATTTCTCCCTCCCGACTGCGACATAGTGGACGTGCCAACGATTGAGTACGTCTCTTTCGCCGAAACTATTGTTTGCAAAGAACAGTTAAAGCTGAATAAGTCAAAATCACCTGTCCTGAATGACATACCGCCCAATTTGTTGAAGGTGCTTGCTGGAGAACTATTTAAACCGCTGGCCATGCTCTTTCAAACTTCGTTCGAAGCAGGCTATTTGCCCGCCGATTGGAAATCCGCAAGGATCACGCCGATTTACAAAGGCGTCAGCAAGGTCTTAGCAAACAACTGCAGACCAATCAGCCTTACTTCACTTTGCTGCAAAATCATACAAAAAACAATTAAGCGAGAAATATTGCACTTCCTAGAAGAGCATAATCTGCTATGCGATGCCCGGCACGGATTTTGTAGAGGCAGATCATGCGTGAAAAATTTACTTTATTGTTAAGATCGCTGGACCCGGGCAGTCGATTGCGGCAATGCAGTGCGCGCAGTCTATGTCGACTTGAAGAAAGCATTCGACAGTGTACCCCATCAGCGTCTCCTGTACAAATTAAACCGAACAGGTGGATACAACGTTTCTTGATCGGTCGCTCTCAGATCGTCCCCGTCAGTGATAGGCAGTCGGCGGAGATACTGGTTGAAAGCGGTGTTTCACGAGGCTCTGTTCTGGGCCCTACCCTATTCATTATATTTGACAACGATTGCGTCAGTGAACTGAATTGTGATGTCGCCATGTTCGTTGATGATGGTAAACTTTGGAGCGTCATCCGAACTGAATTGGACGAAGAGCGCTTGCAGGCAGACCTGACCCGACTCGAGAAATGTTCAGAGGACTGGGTTTTGCCGTTTAATGTGACTAATTGCAATGTTTTGCGAGTCGGCAGGATCCGATTTCTAAGCCGGAAGGTTAACTGCCTAAATAACATACCATTGCAGGAGGTAGACGCCCAGAAAGACTTGGGTGTTTGGGCAACTGCTTCTCTAAAACCGCCGCTCCAGTGCTCCAAGTTAGCCAAGTCCGCGATGTCAGTCCTTTATCTTGTCAAGAGAGCTTTCTCTACCTTCGATGAGGAGTGCTTTGTTAAAGCCTTCCGGAATTTCGTACGGCCACAGGTAGAGTTTGCTATTCAGGCGTGGAAACCCTGGACCTCTGAAGATCTCAGCATCCTTGAGAAAGTTTAAATGCGGGCAACCAAACTCGTAAGTGGATAGGGTTCACTAGCCTATGAAAAACGATTGTCCAATTTCGGCCTTTTTCCACTGAGTTACAGACAGCTAAGAGGCGACCTTATACAAACATTCCGTATACTGCGCGGCCACGACTGCTGTCTCGTACTTGCTGATTTCTTTCAGTTAGAGACCACAACGAACCTCCGAGGTCATACACTTAAACTACGCGTAACTGGCGCCAAGCTGGACATTCAGAAGTTCATCTTTTCAAACGGAGTGATCGAGGCCTGGAATGCTCTGCCTACAGATGTCGTCATGTCCACCTCCGTCGAGGCTTGCAAGCGCAAGTTGGACCAGCGTACCACCAAACGTCATAATGCCACCTGACCGACAACGTCTAGCATTTCGTTCGAACAGTTTATGAAGGTTGTTATATCACTGCGTGTATTTCAGTAATGTTTTACTTTTATTTTTGTCCCATGTCTGTTAAATTTTTTTTTGGCATCTAATTCGTCTCCCAGAAACTGAGATAGCACCAACTATCCATAGACAGACTACTGTACAGCACACTTAGTAAAGTTAATGTTTTTAACTCTTGGAACAATTCGTTTATCTGTCTGGCTTCAAAAACTTTGCCAATCTGAAGAAACTCTGTCGCTGTTAGATGTTTCCATTTAAAAATATTTGATATAGTTCGCTTCCTTGTAACAAATAGGGAGTTCAAAGGTTCAAAACCTATATTTCCCTCAAATAAACCCAAATGAACTGAATAAGTACACCTATTCGTATTTAAGAGCGACGTTTCTTAACGATGAAGTCGTATTTACAGGAACTTTATTTAAAATCTACGTGCGGAAAACAGTGTTAGTGACTTCGCAAGTGAAAATTTTCTTTTGGGTAAATGCTTGTGTTAGAAAGATCAGCCTTGACTAGATTTTATTGAAAGGAAACCGCGCCAACATTTGAAAACTGAGTTCTTTAAACTGACAACATAGATTTAATTAAAGACTTGAATAAATTCCAAATATTGAATTAACTTTATTGGCATAAATGGCATCCAAAGCTTCGTAAACTATTCAGAGCAGAGTTTTATTGTCACGACTTCTTCCAGTCTTATCAAACGCAAAGTCGACCCTGAGAAATGTCAATCAATTAACCATGGCATTTCCCTCATCAGCATCTAATACCGAAGATTCATGGTAAGCGTCTGTAAGGTAACACCTGTTTAAATCGATTCCGCGCATGCTTTATATAAGCACACATTCACGCACTGTTGAATACCATTCGGAAAACAAAACTAAACGTCACAAGTTCAGCAGTAGTGTGAAAGTGGACATGCATTCATTTGTTGCCAAAGTTTGCTGTCGGTGTGGTATCACATAAAACGTTAACCAAAATTCTGAACTGCGTTTTTTTCAAAATGTCAGCTAGTAAACGGGCTGCTTGTGGACTGTCGGCAGAAACTGTACACTGTGAAACATAGACACCTATTATTTACGGATTGTTCTTATTGATTTTCGCTGTCCTTATAAATTCCAATATATTTCATAGAAAACCTGTACGAAAATAGTTGCTGTTTTGTTTATTTGCTATTACATTATGTCCTCTTCAAATAGTCCGCTTAAAGAAAGTGCATCTTCCGGCCTTAAAACGGCTTTAAATTATGCGGCTTTTAAGACACTGGAATGTACCCTCACAAAACATTGTCACCTTACGTCTGTTAATTTTGCTCAAAAAATTAACCAACGCATTCCAAATCCATTGCAAAATCTTACATGATTCATGTGGAGTCTTCCCACTAGTGTATAGAAATGCATGATATTTTTTAATACAGGAAATATGCTTCTTATAGTTTGGAACCCCATTAAATGGGACCATTGACTTCATCCTAAGTGTGGTGGTCAAATGTAAACTCCAGTGCGATGAAAGGTGACTAGGCAAGACATGGAAAGAAAATTCTGAGGGAAGGAAACCCTGTCGTGCCACATATTTGTCCTTGCCTCAAACAGTTATGGCATATGAAAGACACTTATCTTGGTTCACTGAGAAGAGTATGAAAATATATGCAAATGGGCTGAAGATGGCGCAACGACATCCTGGATTACCTATAGATAACAATAGGTGATACGTTCCCAGCCCGGTCTATCATTAAAGGTAGGGCATACGCAAAAAGTGGCTTTTTTACGTGGTAGCTAAAAATTCCAAACAAGCAGCTGTATTTTTCTTAGTAAATAAATACGTGAAAATGGGAGCATTAGTAAACATTTAAGTTTGCAGTTGCCAGTCAGCCGCATCATAGGTCCGAGTATTAGTGGATAATTTGAGGTAATTTCGCAGTCCTTTCAGATGTCTCATGTACAATTTTCTCTGGGTTGTATTATAACGACTGGTGTACCACAGTTTGCCATTTTGGATTTCTCCCAATGGGCCGTTAATACGCGTTGGATATTGACTCTGAAACTCACGGCGGATACATGTTTGCAGTCCCACTCGTATGTTTAAGGACGGGCATTTATATCTGCCATCGTGAAGAAAGAATATTTTAATGCAAGCGGCAAAGACATTTATGGTTATTCCAATTTCGACAACGAGAAATCTAACCCCTAGCTTGACGCTCGCGTACAAGGCTAAACTTATCGGTGGACGAGAGGGTGTTCTATGGGACCTGCGTTTTTTGGCCTGTGGCTGGAGAATTTCTGACTGAAAAAGGTATTTATTGGTTGCTCGTCGCAGCCATTACAATGAGACTAGAGTTGCAGATAGAATGCAATGGAATGTTTGCGTCCGGCAATCAAGAGATATCCGTGCAAGAGTCCTTAAAGCTGCTTACTTACTATAACAGTTCAGTTAATGATTAGGAGAAAGAAATATTTTCAAAGACACCTATGGGTTACTTTGTTGCCCAAAAGGCTCCTTTCTGATAGCTGTAGAAAGTACATTTCAAAAAAAATAATCACTTACGTAGTGTAAAACTCTCTTACTGATTCCCAATATCTCAAAAGATTCAATTATCTTACAAGAAGAACTGAAACAAAAATAATCTCTCGTTTGTTCATTTTGTATAAAGTGACGTCTTTTTTAATTTTTGCACCCGCAACTAATACGTTTTGGCTTCAATGAGGTTTTAATTACGAGATTTCTAAAAGCCGTTAAGGCCTGCATCTTTCTAAGCTCCTACTCGATGCTGCTTGCCGTATACATTTTTTCTGGCACTTAAACAAAAATACCGGGTTAGGTTTTATTTTTCTTGCAGTTTGACTGAACTCCCTAGTTTCGTGTATTGTCTATACCAGATTTTCTTCTGATAGACGCTGCCGACATGCTGCCGTAAATAACCATTTACTTCTGTCCACAAAAATGTCTTTTAAAAATTGTTATGTAAGCATTCTACGATTCCTTGAATCCGAAATCCGATAATTCCAGTAATAGCTAACGTGAGTCTTCAACAAGCAACTTCAAGGACGTATTTGCCTTGAATTTTTCCAAGCAGTAGTTATGGTAGTAGTTGCCTCACATATACTCACCTCGCATTGTTTTATGTTTAGATGCAGATGCATTAAGCATCAAGCATATCCACCGCTATGCAATTTTGCTTATATCGAAAGCTATGACAAAAGCAGTTGATTTGAAGCCCCGATGTTTATGTGAATGGCCTAAACAGCCCTGCGATTTCTGCTTGGCCGTTATGAGGATAATGAACTTGAAATATAATCCCAGTTTAATTTGGCAGGTCGTTGGTTTTCGACTTCAAATGCTGGAAGTGTCGTTCCATTTTCGCATTTTCTCCTAGTTATTGTTTGAACCGATGACACTTTTGTCGCGCGCTCTTATCAGCTGTAATGGTCTTAAACCGCCCTGACGGACTCATTTCTCGCGATGTTTTATTTGAGCTGGAAGTTAGCCCATGCATTTTTAAAACATATTTCCTATGGAAAATTTTCAAAGGGTAAACTGGTCACTACTACGGGTAAGTTTGGCTGATTGTCGGTGTCGAAAATTCACAAATGTATTAAAACCGACTGTGAATTTTAACGGGGTGCCGAATATATTTTAAGACTTAAACATGCACTGAGAAAATGCATATGCGATTAATTATGACACTGAACAGTTAAATGTGTTTCTTTTTTACGACATCCAAAGTAGTGGTTTAAACTTTCCTTACAGTGAACTAAAACACAATATTTCTCCTGAACACTCTGGATTATCGCCTCGGAAAACGGTCATCCTACGTTAATTGGACAGAATGAGGCATTTTCTCATGATTAGGGTGTTTTTACGGATAATATCTACTATAAATGTTACGGCGCTCTGAACTCAAAACTATTTTTTATAAAAATGTTCGCGTTGATGATGAAAAACTCTTAAAATATATGTCGTTTCTGCATAGCATATGATTTCTAAATATAAAAACAGGATTAAATCTAATTTATTTTTCTTTTTAATTTTAAGATACTTCTGAACACCCTCAAAGCGTAATATAAACAGTGCAGACATAGGCAGCCAAAACAATTTCGGCTACTTACATACAACTGTGCAAATTGTACGCGAACCGTGCCCATGAACACAATGAGCTTCTGCATAGATAACTGAAAATTAGTGAATACTTTTCACGATTTGTATGTGGATTAGGACACAAGTCCAACGCAAGTCCACAGCCCCATACCACTAGTATGGAAACCGAAACGAAGGGAATCAACAGCATTTCATACTGTACTGAAAATATATCGCTGAACGCTCTCCTGATGTGTATGCTCGGCAGATCGCTGACGCGGGGCCCTACTGACAGGCTATCCAGTTGAGATGCTTCAGCTCGCAAATCAGGTTTTTTCGACCTTGGGCTGGTGCGCAACTCGTAGTTAATTTTTCTAGTCCTTGCTGCCGTAGGTTCATTCACTCCTGCAGTAAGCGGCTCTAGACACGCTCACCTGAAGCCATTCGACAGATTTCAGCTCGAACCTTAGGGTGTACAATCTGCGTACGCAAGGTGGTTGTGGGCTGGTGTGTCACATGTATCTGATGCTTTTTCAGCTGTCTTTCGACGAGTTAAGATGCATTTTTCACATATGGATGGTCCGCCAGGTGGATTTTTTTGGTGCCTATGCGACCATAGTTTTCCAAACACTTTTCTGTTTGAACGCATGTTTAACGCAATGACGTATAAACGGGCGCGGATACACGTTGTGGGAAAATAATTTGAAAAGGTATTTCATTTCTGCTTGATAACTTTGTTCATCAGAGCAGTGTTGTTTAGCTCAAGTTAGCAGGCTGCCGACAGTACTCCTCTTCTGAGAGATGGGATGGTAACTCTCAAAATGTAGGATGACCTCGGGCTATGCTCCTATGCGATAATATGAAGTGTGAAGGGATCCATCAGTTTTTCGGCATAC